TACCACTCCTCCAAAAAGGCAGATCAGCCCCCAGAAAGATTTTCATCTGTCTCAATTACGTGGCAATTGTCGGATGCTGGAAAGATTTCCAGTCCAGGATTTGCCTCCTCCAAGTCATTATGGTCCCAGTCACCCTTGCTGCTCCCTCTCATCTGACAGGCAGTGCATCTCTTGTTCTCCTGTGAAAGTCCCTTGTGTCCATCCTGTCCCAAGGCCACCAGCTTTGCACAGGCCCCTAACTTCACCTCTGGACTACTAACACACACACACACACACACACACACACACACACACACACACACACACTTCTACCTGGTTGAGTCATCCCTAGGTTTTCACTTAAAAACCAAGATGCATGTCCCCACCAGGAAAATCTCTCCAGATCCCTGCTCTGAATGCCATGCTGCCCTGCAATCTTCAACAACAACCTTCACGGCTGCCCTTGCTCAAAGAAAGTTCCCAGTCCCTGAGCAGGGCATTCAGACTGATTGCTATTTACGTCCCCAGTGTATCTTCCGTAATTCCCCCTTCTTGGATCATCTGCTGTGGGCAGATGCTTCACTGCTGCCAAAACAAACCATTCCTCCCTCTGGCCTTTGCTTCCCTGTTCCCCAGCCCACAGCACCTTCCTCTCCGTTGTTGCTTCTCTGAGCCCGTTCCTGCCCTTGGAAGTCCCCTGACCTCTGGGATGCTTAGCAGCAGGCAAGCCCATAGTGATCCCTCCCTCCCCTGAAGCCCCTGGGAGAACCTACAACCTGTGACCCTGGTCATCTGTCCAGCCTCTTCAGCCTCAGTCTTCTCTACTGTAAACTGAGTGTAAAAACATTCCCTGCCTCATACAGTTGTCTCAGTTGGAAGAGGTCAAGCACAGGATAAACTTAGCATTGCACCTGGCTCAAAGCCACAAGGCAAGTGTTCAATAAATGAAAGATAATATTGTTGATAATTAAGATTGTCATTTTTATAACTGTATGATACTTTGTGTTCTTTGACTCTTTCATGAGGGGTTGACCTCTTGAGAATGGCAGTCAAGTCATGTCACATCTAATAAAATGCATTAAGCACCAAAGATCCTGGGGAGTGTTTGTGGAGGATGGGCAAACAGTCTTGAACGTGGGAGTCAGAAACCCAATGTCAGTCTTAGCTCTGCAGGGATCTTGGTGTGTGATCTTGACTTGTCTCCTTGAGCTCCCAGTCCCTCCCACCGTACATCATCCCTCACGATCTCTTTGAAGCTGGCTTCAAATCCAAGCCCTGATATTGATTCTTTGTGTTAATTTGGGCACATTCTTTAATCCTTTTAGTCCTCAGTTTCTTCGTCTGTGAAATAGAGAGAATATTCTTTCTTCACTACTGACTACGAGGATAAATGAGGTTGGGCTCGTGACCTGCTCACCTTCAGTTGGTAGCTGCTCTTCTGGTTGTTTTGTTATTGCTGTGTAGTTGATAAACACTAGACTTGCCAATGTTTTTGAATGAGTTTTCCTGGTGCCACCAGAACAAAGGACTACAACTTGGGTGGCTTAAACAAAGAAATGTATTGTTTCTCAGTTCTGAAGTTTAGAAATCCAAAATCAAGGTGTTGATTTTGATCAGTCCTGATGAGGGTTGATTCCTTCTGAGGGCTGAGAGGGAGGATCTGTCTCTCCTAGCTTCTGGTAGCCCCAGGCATTCCTCATCTTGTCTCATCTTGTCTTGTAGATGTCTCGTACCCTCCCTGTGTCTCCTCAGCGCCTCCCTCTCTGCCTGTCTGTCTCTGCGTCCAAATTTCCCCTTTTTATAAGGTCACCAGTCATATTGGATTAGAGCCCACCCCAATGACCTCATCTTAACTCGATTACCTGTATAAAGACATGTTTCCAAATAAAGTCACATTCAGAGCTACTGGGGGTGAAAACTAATACACCTTTCTGCGGGGCGGGGTGAACCATTCAAACTATCACATAGAAAAAGATTAATAGTTGCATTCTCTAGAAAATGCTTTGCTGAAAAAAATAACTTGACATTTCTCAATGAAAGAGGGAAAAAAAACCCCACAACCCTTGACAGCCACTTCTCCTGACTCCACAAAGCCTCTGCCATACACAGCAGTTCATTTAACTGGATCAGATGAGTAGAATTCGTTTTGACAAAGATCTGCTTCTTTCCATAAAGCAAGTCCCAGGACCTTTGCCCTGAATGGTATTTCCCACATGTGCTTCTGGAATTGCAAATCTATCACTGCTGGTTCCTGACATTTTTGCAGAGCCCCCAGGATGGAAATAACACACCAGATCTCAGGCAGTTGGCGTTCTTTCTCCGTTTTTTTATAGCACTCTGCAAAACTCTCATGCTGTTTACATGTGATTTATATTCCTCCTGTGGTCCCTAAATGGATATAATAAAAACAGATTTAGAATATTAATCTGCCATGGTTCAGACCAGCATGGTCTATTACAAATTTATTTACTGGGGATGGTGAAAAATCTGAAAGGATAAAGTGAGAATCAGTTCTCAGTAACTATTTTTTGATGATTTTTACCGCACTGTTTCTCAAAGCGTGGTCTACTGGATTCCTCATGGAAAGTGCAGATTTCCTGCTCCATCCCACCCAGTCTGCAGGTTCAGAGTCTTTGGTGGGAGAGATACTGGGATTTGCATTTCTCATGAGCCGCTCTTGCCCTGAGTGGTTCTGGCCCACCCTGCGTTTGAGAACCGCTGGTGTCTGGTATGCCGCAGTAGAAATGTGTTGGGTTGTGGGATTCAAATGAGTTCCGGAGCTGGAGTCTGTCCAGGGCTGAGGGCGAGGAGGACCAGGCAGGCAGATGTGGTGCAGAGGGTCCGGGGATCTGAGGGAAAGGAGAGGGCGAGTGTGTCCAGTCCGCTGTGAGGTGGGTCTGCTGAGCCAGGTGAAAGGGCAGTGTGAATTTCAGGTGCAACAGGAGCCCGTAAAGGTTGATGGAGTGGATAACGGCAGATGGGTTGAACTGGGGAGTGCATTTCTGGCAACCCCAATGAAGAGATCTGGAAGCTGCAAGAGTTGAAATGGGTTAAGGTGTGTGGGAGGGTCCTGACCTCCACCCCGAGGGGCTGCTTAGTGAGAAGCTGGACCTCAGAGCCACTTGGCGAGCCCTGTGAAAACTCAGGTTTCTGAGCTTGAACTGGTCCCTCTGCATGCCTTTTAGAATCTGTATTCTAAGGCTCCCCAGGGGCTCCAATGTGACAGTCCCTTGGAACAGCCTTTGGGAAGCACAGTGGCCACAGAAACACTGACTTTGGGGATCAGCGGACATGGGTTGAGTCCTGGTTCTTTGACCTTGATCTACATCTGAGCCGCAGTTTCTTATCTGTAAGATAAGGATACATTTTTCTTTCTTTCCTTCTTTTCTGATTGTTGTCACCATCAGGGGTAAGGCATGTGACACATTTCACAGTTCCTGGTGGCCAGCATCCATCGTTAAAGGGTGGCTCTGGACCTTGTGAGAACCAGGATTTTACAAGTGTGATTTGGACGGGGTGTGTTGGGCATAGGAATCGACAGACAGACCCAGGGATTGAAATTGGGATAGAAGGCAGGGTCTTGGCTCTGACAACACTGGGTCCTAGTTTCCAGAACTGGAACTAGAAAGAAAAAGAGCAGCAATGACATCGATGCTTAACCAAGCAGGTCAGGCCCTGCCCTAAGCACTTCATGCACAACTTCTATGAGTTAAGTACTATTATCTCCCTTTTACAGATGAGAAAACTGAGGCTCAGAAAAACATGTGCATGATCACACGGCTCTTATGTGGCAGAATCAAATTTCAGACACGAGCTTTTGAGCTCTGGGTCTTCAGACACTGTTCTTGCCTATTTAAGGCAAGTACAAGGTCACAATGGCCCTGGGAGCACAATGCTGTGTCTCCAAAGTAAGCTGGGCTTTGGGGAAAATGGTCCCAGGAGTTTCTTTGCCGTACATTTCTAGATGTAAGATTGTACAGCTGCTTCCAACAAAGTTAGAAAAGCTGGCACTCTCATAACAGACACTGAGCTGTAATAAACCTGCACTGTTGCCAAAAGCTTGATAAATTCTAACAGAAAATCCATATCACAGAATTGTCTTGTATTGGAAATCTCTTGTCCCCTTTACATTTCATTTCTATGTAAGATTTGACCCCTTTCATGGGTTGATCAATGCTTCCTCTCTGACCACCGCTGTCTCTCCCCTTGTCCTCTAGCTCATGGATTTAAGGCTCATTTCATTTGATGGGAATCGGATGTCTAGTCAAGATTTCCTCCACTTTATATGGGAAGCACTGGCATTAGTAAATATATTTGTTTAATTCTGAGAGTATTTTGTTAGAATTTCTGCATTTCATACCATTCTCCTCTTTCCTTTCTCTGTACTCGCAGGGCATAACCTTCAGTAGCAGAACAAATCAGGCCAGCCAGCCAGCTGCCAAGTCCTGTGGGCTCCTCATCAAGGAAAACAGCTGGACCTATTTCTAATCAACGTCTCCCAGCACAACACCTTTGGATCGCTCAAGGAGACCAGACCGGAATCTGAAACTTCCAAAGACTTCCAGTAAGACATCGAATGCAGAAGGATCCTTGGATTGCCTTTGAAGACATTTGCTCTGTTTGAGACACAAAGGGGGAGAGAACAGGTTCACTTTCACCCAAGAAAGTACAGGCTACATTTAAACCTCTGAACATAAACATATAATGGATGATGGTTATTGAAACAGCCCAAACCTCTATCACCGTGCAAGGGATATAGCTCAAGAGGCAACCAGGCAGTCCCAGGACCAAGGAATGGATGACTACAAATATCAGGACCACTATGAGGGCTATGGCCCCAGTGATGGCTATTATCGTGGAAATGAGTCCAATCCAGAAGAAGATGCACAGAGTGATGTTACAGAAGGCCATGACGAGGAGGACGAGATCTATGAGGGCGAGTACCAGGGCATCCCTCACCCGGATGACATCAAGACCAAGCCAACCAAGATGGCGCCCTCCAGGGCAGATGGTCTTCGGGGCCAGGAAGACCTGATGGCGGAGAGGATGGAAGATGAGGAGCAGCTGGCCCACCAGTACGAGACCATCATTGATGAGTGTGGCCACGGGCGCTTCCAGTGGATTCTCTTTTTTGTTTTGGGCTTGGCCCTCATGGCAGATGGGGTGGAAGTGTTCGTGGTGAGTTTTGCCCTGCCCAGTGCAGAGAAGGACATGTGTCTGTCCAGTTCCAAGAAGGGAATGCTTGGTAAGTGGAAATTTTCAAAGATCGTTCTCTTTGTGGCATTAAAATGTGAAGGAGAAAGAGCAGTAAAAATTGGATAGCACCTGTCAGTGTTGGGCATCTTAAATCTATCACAGTGTCCTTGCAACACTATCATTTAAATCCATTTTGTCATTAAGGTATTTTTATCTCAGAGAATTTAATAGGCCTAGGTTTACATAGCTAGTAGGTATCGGAGCTTGGATTTCTACCAGATCTGACTCCTAAGTTCTTTTTTCCAATTTTTTTTAAATTGAAGTATAGTTAATGTACATTATTATATAAGTTACAGGCATACAATATAGTGATTCACAATTTTTAGAGGTTATGCTCTTTTTTCCCAAGTCTTGTTGCCTCCTTGAGCGTGTGATTTCTCTTCTTCGTATTAAACCATCTTCCATATCCAAATGACAAATACGTGTTGTGTGTGCCAGGCCAGAGGTCTCTTTCACGCTGTCCTTCTTTCTGTGTCCTTCCAGAATCCGATAGCATCCGCGCCTGGTTTCTCCTGTGTCTAAGCATCCGTGGGCTGAATGCCTGTGCCTTGGCGGTGAGCGCCGGGCTGAGCGCACCCGCAGAGGCCCCTGCAGGGGTGAAGCGTAGATGGATTCCGCAGGATGGGGGACCAGCTTTGCAAATCAATGATGAGACTAGCATCCTCAGAGCCAGACATCAGCTCTCAGGGCTGCAGACAGGGAGGGGTTTGTGAAGTTAGAGAGAGGATGGGCATGAATAGTGCGGCATAGAAGAGATTCATCAAAATATAGACAAGGGTTTGTCTTGATCATTAAATGTCCTGCAAAACATACCCATTCTCTGCATTTAGAGTCCATGCAGTCGATTGTCTAGCAGACATACAGTTACCGAGAACTGACGGGGAGTCGGGTTTTCACTCCAGACTGAGTCATAGTTACGGGCCTCACGAATTCAGAATCCGTCTAGCAACTTAGTTCATTCATTTAACAAATATCTGTTACTTGTTTACTGTGTTTTAGTCTTTGTGCTCAGGCCCCAGGGAGGAAATATGGAGCAAGGCAGGTGTAGTCCTTGCCTCTCAAAGAAATTACATAAAGCAGGACAAACAGGCATTAACAAACGCAGGGAATTGTTTGATTGCTGTAGGGACACACGTGCTGCGAACCGCTTTGTGCCATTCTGGTCCAGTACCTGCTCTAGAGCAAGGACTGGCAAGCATTGTCTGGGAAGGCTCAGAGAGTAAATATTTTAGGCTTTGCAGGTCCAGATGGTCTCTGTCACCACTATTCAACTCTGCCTTTAGCACCAAAGCAGCCATAGACAATATGTAAACACAAGGGCATGACTGTGTTCCAATAAAACTTGATTTACCAAAAAAAAAAAAAAGTCAGCAGGCTGAATTTGGCCTATGGGCTATAGTTTTTTTGCCCCCGATTTAGAGCCACAGTAAATAAGATTGGGATATAAAACAAAGACGGCATCTGCATAAAGAATTGTCCCTGGGGGGGTGGTTTAAAAATGATGTTATCCATTCCCGCTTAATTAAAGGGACATTTAAAATGATGAGAACTCTGTGAGATGTGGCCATCAGGGAATCAAAAGAGACCAAATATGTACAAACAAAAGAAATGATTTGAGAAGCAAGATATCACCCAGAGTTTTTAAACACTAACAAAATTTTATTTTTTTTAATTATTTTCATTATTTTTTTATCAACAGAAGTTTGTGTTTAAGTTTCAATAGATTTTTTTTAAAGGGTAAAAAACAAGATAAAACAAACCCCAACCTCCTGACCAAACCAATCCATCCCCAGTTCATCTAAACATTTCCAAGATATTATTTTGTGTTCTGCTATTCTCAACTGAAACCCTCGGTCCCTGTTGGTCCAAATTCGTACTGTTAGTAGTGATTTCATGCCCTCTTGGTCTCTCGGCCACCCTGGTGCCCAGCAACCCCGTTAACAGAGCTGCAGCATGGCTATAGCTCCCGCTGGCTTCCCGGGCAAACGCTGGGAGTGGAGGGAACCCGGTTCCAATCTGGAGAGCCCATGCGTGTGCAATTTTGCTTTAAGTGTTTACCGAGAAGATGCTATGACTCAGCCCAAGGGGGGCAGGCAGACCCCTGAGCAGAGATGGACTCCCTATACACTTGTGGGCCCCCTTGATGGTCAGACAATGCGTCTGAGTGGATCCAAGGAGGCAGATGACTGGAGGGTCTCGCGAGGCCAGCTTTTCCTCGTGATGTCTCGTGTCAGCTGCGTAGTCACTGTGGTGCTTAGAGGACTTTTATCCCATCCGTACACATCAGGAAACAGGCTCAGAGAACTGCGTTTAATGTCACGTGGTCATTGCTGGGGCTGGGATTTTAATTTCAAGGTCATGCTTGTCCTGCTGCACCATACTGCCCTCCCTTCATGCATGGTCTTCAGGACGGAGGTCATGACCTGGGGTGGGCTTTCTCTCCATGTCATTAAGCACCCCATAGGTTGCTTGAGCACCATGATTTGCCTCTAACAGAGAGATAGCATGGTGTGGGGAATAATGGTGTGAACACTGGTGTCTGGCCACTAGGGTTTGGCAGTTGGCTATACCTGCCAGTGACCTTGGGCAAGCCATCGCTTCTTTAAAGATCAGGTTTCCCATCTATGGAATAGGGTCATGATCATTTGTTGTGAGGATTAAGTAAGATAAAGCTGATAAAGCAATCAGTGCTCCACGCCTGCTGAGCAACTGTTAGCTCTTGTTACTCTGTGTTATGACAGTCTCCCTTCAGCATCTGCAGTGAATTATAGCTGCAGGGAGATAACGCAGCAGCAGGGACACTGGAGCCGGGTGGCCTGGGTTTGAATCCTTGCTCTGCCAATTCTTAGGAGGGGGACTTGGAAATTACTTAGTGTCTCTGTGCCTAGGTTTCCTTCTCTGCAAAATGGAGATGCTAATGGTATCTACTTCCCAGGGCTTTTGTGAGGACTAAATGAGTTTAGTGCATTTAATTTGACTTGTCATTTGTCATTTCAAATGACCTCGAATTGTTGGCATCTCAAAGCCTTGTTTCCTTCTAACCAGGATAGCACCTACTATTGATGACACTTTGAACAAACCTACAGCATCCTCCTCTGCCTGCACTTGGTCAGTTGACAACAAAGTTTTCCCATAATTGTCAAGATATCCCTTAAGCTGGAACAGTGGGCAATTTCTAGCACATACTGATCCAGAGAAAGAGAACCTCATTTTTAGGCAAGAGTTCCACTTTTGCCTTCAGAATTTTGATTTCCTGAAAGAGTCTAGTTATTTTGTTTTATTGGCTGTTAGTTTGCGTGCCATCCCCAGTGGGAAGGATTAGGAAGTCCCACACTTCAGACAGTGACTTAGAGCCTAACAGGGAACCCCTGGGGCTTGGTGTCTGAGCTAAGGAAGGACGCAGAGCAAAGCCAGATGGGGTGGATTCATTAGAATAAATTGCACATTGAATTTCCATAGCAGCTCAGAGACAGATGTATTACTCTGCTTTCTTGAAAGATTAACCTTTGTTTCATATGCAGATTCGAGGTGAGAGCATCAGGGCAGATCATTTGATTATGAGCCACTTTTTCTTTAGCCCTGAATTCAGAGCGTCAGTTCCTGAAAGGAGGGGCCACTCTGTACCCTAAAGCCTGGCACAAAATACGTGCTCAATAAATACTTACTTACCATCATGGAAGCAAGTACTCATGTTGGTGAAATCTACCACTAGGACTTTTCATGGCATCTTTTTGTGTTTGATTTATATCTGGTGTCCTTATTTATGCTTTTTAGATCATAAGCTTCTTTAGAACAGAATGATAGCCAGGGGTTCCCTTAACAGAGTTTACACTCATGGCCATGTTTAACAGTGTGCACTTGAGTCCACAGGCAATGTGAAAAGCTGTTTAATGGGGAGCTAGTAAATGCCTTTGAGAAAGGGAGTGGTAAGGAGGGACCTATGATTTAGGATGATCACGCTACTCCAGTGATTTTGGCGCGGGGAGTGGTTTTAGAGGAACAGAATCTTAAGGATAAATTTTCTGAATTGGTTCTGGGGTTTCTGCAGTCAGCCCTCTAATCTGGTTAGATTTAAAGACACTGTTTATTGACTCTATTTCCAGTCGTAAAGAGAGCACTGATCGTTCACGGCATCTTGTGGCTCTAGAGATACATAAAATGACATCATATGGTACTCCCAATCAAACATTTATAAGAGGCAAAGCTCTAGGTGACCACTGCTGTCAAACTAACTTTTGTCAAATTAATGAGTATGAGCTTGGCTGGTTGCTCCTGATGGTCACTGACAAAGTGGGAAAAGAAGCAAATGAGCTCAGGGACTCAAATTCCCAGCACAAGCACCGCATAAACGACCCGAAAGCTTCTATGTCTGCCCTGAAAGAGACCTTTATCTCCTGAGATTGTTGACAGCCAAACCCAGAATCTCACCCTCTGAGGCTGACTTGCAGTGCAAATTGAATTCCCAGCCTCGCAGGGTGTCTACTATTAAAGTGAGAGCATTGGTGGGGAAGAAATGGGATCCTGGAAGCCAGCATGGGGATGTGTGGGAAGACCCTGATGAAGCTGAGGACACTGAACTATGAAATTCTGTTGAGTCTTCTTGGCCAGTAGAAGCATCCTCTCCACCCCTGTATTGGGGGGATTAACCCTGCATTGATGAGGAAGCTGCAATGGCCTCCCACGAGGCAGTTGCCTTGGGAGACACTGTGTTTTCTCCTCAGGACCCCCACCCCACCCCTTTTTCCTTCTGGACTTGTAACTAGACTCAGGTCCCAGCAGGTCCCTAAAAGTGAGGTTCAGAGTGACCGATAAGGAGGTATGCTACACTGCAAAAGAACTTCTTGATTTTTCTAATTTACACAGGCAGAAATTCAGGGAGTAGGTGTGGGGATGGATTCAGGGTGTGGGATAATGGTGGAAGGAACATAAAGTAGGATTGAGCCCCATTGATTGATATGGACCCACTAAACAGAGATTCTGCTTTTAACA